AGGTGGGGCTCTACATGGCTCTGCGCAAAAATATAGCCAAGGGAAATGAACTACAGGGACTAGACCACCTTCCAAAGAATTATGGAATCCTGGAACAGGTGGGGATTCGTGTGAGCAAAAGGATGCAAAAGGAACCAAAAAGAAGAACACCCAATCCAGCCACAAGGATCTTTAGATTTATTTGGCAACTGTGCAGGGACTAGACCACTTTTCAAATAATTTGCCCATCTCAATTTCAACTTCTCTAATCAGTTCTAAATGAAATGGCCTGACATGATAAGGAACGGGTATGAACGGGTGGACTCCTGCTCATCCTTTGCAACCTGCAGCGGACCTTCTGGTTCCTCTGACTCCTGGCACAGGTGCAGCGTGGTGGAGCTCTAAACACAGGACACGAAAAAGAATACATAACAACTAATAAGAACGCTGTTTGCAGCCTCCACACTCCAAGCAGTCCTTACAGTAGATCTATATATTTGGAAACTGTGCAGGGACTAGACCACCCTCCAAATAATTCTCCACATAGGATCATCCAGTGTTTGTCAAATGCCACTCATGCCTTAAGTTTTGCCACACAGCTGACGACCAATCATTACAGAACGCGAAGTGAATGGACTCCTTCGTCTGAACCTTTGCGCGCAGCGGCAAATCTTCTGGTTTGCAGTTTGGCTCCTGGACAGGTGGGGCTCTACATGGCTCTGTGCAAAAATCTAGCAAAGGGAAATGAACTACAGGACTAGACCACCTTCCAAATAATTATGGTATTGTGGAACACGTGGGAATCTGGTTTTTGTCTCCTGCTCAATCTCCATAGGTTGCGGCCCATGTGGCAAAATGCCACGTGTCTCCTCCAAAAGGTAAAGCTCTGCAAAAATTTGCAAAAATACAGCAAAAAGACAAGATTCACCCAGCTTTCTCTAAACTCTAAACTTCTGCTCCTGTTGTCCAGCTTGTTGAACTTGAGGCGCACGCGATTCTAGCTTCTCCTGTCCAGTGAACAGAACA